CAATTCACCTTGTTCCAGCTTAGCAAGTCAACAAAACATCATTCAGCATCAGACAGACAGGGTGCCTCCAGCTTGCCAAAATTTCAACATTCGGCAGACTTTAAAGTTACGCAATAAAAAGAAACCCACAAACTCCCACTTCCCTCCACCTGTCTGGCAAGGTTAGGATTAAGTGGGAGGAAGTCAATAATTAATGGGAGTTGGTTTAGTACAGCAAACATTAACTGAGCACCAAAATCCATATAGGTCGGTGGAAAAGCTAAAAGAAAGGACATTCAGACCAATGGTTACAAATGAGAAAAGCTTTAGGATGTTCTTCAGGCTAAATTTTCTACCTGTTTGTTTACATTCTGGCTCATTTTCGACCACAGAAGTCCCTTAGATGCTGAAGAAACTATTTTGAATAAGTCGATCTGGACATGGTGGAACACCTAAAATGCCAAAACTAAGCATTCAGAATGGCAGTCCAAAAAATCAAAGGGTATCAAAAGTAGCTACGCCCATCTTTCATGTACTCTCTATGACTCTGAACATGTGGACTTTTAAAACAGAGCTGTGCATTTTTACCTTGGTAGGTCTGCTGGGGCTCGCATCTCATTTCTCCAATCCCATTGCCATAACAATAACAGCGGTAGTAGATGCCATGGATGGCTTTGTCCCACGTCTCGCCGATCTGATAGAACGTCCTGGTTTGTGGTTCTTGACACTGATCTATTGCAGAAAACGCAAGGAGACAAAAGAGTGGAGCAGATGGGACAGACGACAGCGGGGTTGTTTTTCTGAAGCTGCAGCAGTTCTCAGTATTTAGTCCCCAAAAAGCCAATCAGTAACGAGCCGTGAACGTACCAATAGCGTCACACTTCCAGTATCCACGTCCTTGTCCGAAGCAGGTGCAGTTCATCATGTAGCCTTGGTCGTGGCGCTTGGTGAATTCCTGGTTTACTTCATAGGTCAAACCATCAACTATACACTGATCTGGATGCACAGAGAAAAGACAGGAAGATGAATTCACCTTTTATTTAAACTTTCACATTATTCGCAAAGTATTTGAAGACAAAATATAAAAGGTTTTGTTAGATTTAGCCCTCTGACCTAAAAGCTGTGAGTAAGCAACACAGTTCCACTCCCCACGGCCGTTTCCCAGGCATGTGCACTGCATCATGTGACCCAAGACGTCATGGCGTTTGTCCCACTTGTCGCCCACACGGCGCATCACTCCATCACTGGTGGTGCATACCTCTTCATGAGCTAATTAAAGAAGGAAACATAAAAAAGCTATCAGTGTGTTGGTACATGTATACATTCACATGGTGCTGCGTATGTCCAGACACAGAGTTTTTCTTGGTCCACTTCAACCCAGAATTTGTATGTTACTGTTACATAACAGCCTTAATAGCACCATCACTCTCCCATGACCTCTTTAAGTGCCAATTATTTACTCCCCAATTGTCTACAAGTGAACCTTGCAACCAAATCATCATTATAGTCTGTGAGAAACGACTTGATGAGAAGAAGACAAAAAGCATTTTGTGCAATCGGAACAAAAATGGCAAAAGTATTTAAATGCCCAGCTGTGTTATATAACAATATACCAGTTCAGTACCTTCAAATGAGAAAAACAGCAAACACACTCACCAGCCATGGGACAGAATCCAAAACGCTGTTCTGAATCATAGTCGTAGGTGGTGCCACACCATCTCATGTTGTCACGGCGCCCATCGGTGGTGCAATCGGTGTAGTTGCGACCGCTGTAGAGGAAGGGAAAGTGGCACAGGGCCCCATTGGAGTTCCCACCCCGTGTTGTCACAATTGCTGGATTCAAGAAAGTACACATACAAGTTAATGCATGCTTAATTGGCTCTAACCACACAATTATTCACACAATCTTTATTATGTGAGTGGATAAACTAAAGATGCTAGACAACAGTAACTGCACATCAATTTTTGGGGCAAAGTTGCCGTTTACATCTATGTTCCTGAGTCTCACCATTCTTTTCAGTGCAGAAAGAGTACTGCTGGTCACTCTGATAGTCTGAGGTTGTAGAGCACCACAGCTGCCCATCTGAACGTCCATCTGAGGTGCAAGAGTAGTAGGTCTTCCCCATGAAGACAAAGGGGAATACACAGGGTTGGCCATCAGAGTTCCCACCGTACACCTGGTTCCTGGCCTCTGTGGGAAAAGGGGAGGGAGGGTGGGAAAAATGACTTCAGCATACCAATCAAAGAGCAACATGCAGAGCTGAATGGAACCAACAGAAAATTACAAAAGACTGCAATTTCTCTGGGATTGACTCCAAGAGCCACTTGAGCCAGCCTCAAGACTTCTGTATTAAAATACCCAATTTTATTTGCTTCTGGTACACACCCCATTCTTGACAGCTGACTCCATTGCCCAAACAGGTACAGAGCATCTGTTTGCTGCCCTGGTTTTTGATCCAGCGTTGTCCATCGTAGTAGTAGGCTCCAGAGTCGGTGCGACAGGTTCTCTCAGCGGGAAGCTCAAGCTGCCGGACTGGGGTCAACACAACTCTGGCTGTAAACACATTTTAAAAAACAACCAACGTCAGGTCTGTTAACAGCGACAAGCTCAGAGCTCTTGTTGAGCACTGGTTTCTGATTTACAAGTCTCACCTCTTCCTGAGCTGTGTCTTTCACACTTTGATTCTCCTCTGCCATTTCCTAGGCACACACACTGCAGGCGATGTCCGCTTGTGTCAGTCCTCGTCCATGTGTCTCCAATACGGTAGGACCTCCTTGTATCCTGGTCATTGCAGCGGTCTGGTTGGTGTACAACGGTGGTTAGTAGCTGCCCCTGAAGAAAAGCTTGCATTTGTGCTTGTGTATGTTTGGATTCTGCTTACTTCTTGACGTGCATGTGATGCGTCCATTCCCCTCGCCCATACAGGTGCAATCCAGCATCATCCAGCCTTGATATGGCTTCTCCCAGGTGTCTCCTACAGCATACGTGGCAGCTAAGCTATTGTCATAGCACCTTTCCCCTGCAGAAAAATAAACAAATCTTGATTTACTGAATCTGCAGAATCTAAATCACACTGGGCAATTTGTATTAGACATAAACCAAACAAAAATCAATAGCTGGAGTGAAAGATGAGCAAATCAGAGGACATGCTGTCTCACTCGCTTATCTTGTTTGACTGGACTCATGTCAAATATTTGCAGTGGTATCAAAGAGTTACGCTTCTGGGAAATGTGTGTATGTGCATCCATGTTTGTGTGTATGATGAATATATAAACTTTGATCTTTTGCAATATTTTACATTTGTCTGCTTTTCATAGTTCATTTGTGAAATTTTCTTTTCTGCCCTGCTCACCGAGAGGTTTGCATGTCCACTCTCCTTTGCCATTTCCAAGACACACACACTCCAACATGTAGGCACCGGTGTCATGAGGCCTCTGCCAAGTGTCCCCGATTTTATAAGACCTCCCACCATCGTGGCATCGATCTGTGAATGACAAAATGTGAACTTGCTGATTTCAAAGACCTCTTGTATATGCGAGATAGCACACATATACAAATTCTGGTTCAATAATTAAAACTTAATTTCAGGAATAAACTGAACCTTGCAGAGGTATTGCCATGTGTGTTATGCACTTTGACGAAGAAAAAACTACCATGCTAAGACATACCACTCCAGCACATTATGCTGTTTCAACAAGGTTAGTATTTGGTATTCTAGGAACTCACGCGCTATTGTGCAGCTGATCTTGCCGGAACCAATGCAGGTGCAGTCCCAAGTCATCCTCTCATGTAATCTCTCATAGGTTTCACCCACCTGGTATGTCCGGTCATTGTACTTATCATAACAGGATTCCTCCACTGAGAGGAAAAAACAAACAGCACAAAGTTAAAGAGGCTCTTACCGAGAAGCTGTTCTGGAGTCTTCTCTTGCTGCGTAAAAACGCACAACATCTGTGCCTTTCTCCGTGTATTCGTTGCTTTTTGTGTGTGTGTTTTGTTTTTCACTTGTCGGGATCAACACAAGAGTCGTGAAACAAGTGATAGTGCACTACAAAGACGCACTAACCTTCAGGCTTAGTTTTACACTTGATGCCTGCTGCTCCACTGCAGGTGCACACCAACGTGCTACCAAGGTAAGGTTTCTCCCACTGTTCGTTCACTCTGTATGAGCGACCGTTTTCCTCACAGCCGACTACAAATAATATATTATTAAACATTTTAACAGTAGAATGAACATTAATCTTTTTGTTTGCTTTGGCTCACATGGAAAGAAACATATCGAAATCACGTGTTTCTTTGTTGTTGTTGATTTCATTTAACACAAAACGCACTAGAAATATCTTTCTAATGCATGAAGTTACACAGTCAGGCCCCCTGAATTCAAGAATAAGTTCTTGTACCAACCTGGATTAATAGCCGATGTATCGTGAAACTCGGGATACACCTGATACTGGCCAGTTTGTCTTTTGTTCTTCTTTGGCAAGCCGTGAACTGCGCTGCTTACGCACAGCGCAAGCAGTAACCCTGTGAGCGGGCTACCCTTCATTTTATGGAACGGATATTTCAATGAAAAGCAGAAAAAACTTAGATGATGGGAAAAAAGCAATAGCAAAAAGTAAAAAAAAGCAAGTGAATTATTAAAGGGCTTGGAGAGAGCTGGTTCCTGCCCCTTATTCTCAGCTACCTCGGCTGCTCCTTCTCGGCAGTTCACTTGGCCGAATCGCAGCTGGTGCGCCAGACCTAGCAGAGGGCTGCGCGCTGGTTTTATACTGGGACCGCCACAGCAGCAGAGGAGGGGTTTAACGGGAGACTGGAAGACCCGCCCGACAAAGTGTGAGCAATACTTATAATCCTCATTTTGAAGAAAAAACATCAAGCAATGAATATA